CCTAAACTTGTCTGAGCAAGCTGGTAAGCAATCGGTCCATCTGGATAGTGTGGCTGGCGCAAGTACTGGCTGGCCATGGTCAAAGTCTGGTCTGGAGTGGCCCGTCGCGTGGGCAAGTGTGGTCTCCTCCTCCGCCTCCATCTCTCCACCACCGCTAAACCCGTAATCCATTCAACCCCAGAGATAGGACAGCAAGCTGACCTAATTTGCCTGGCGTAGGACCCAACCATATGCAGTTGTGAGCACCGTCGTTGTATACCGCATTCGGAGGAGCTCCCTGTAGGGCCACGAAACGGGTGAGGGGTCTGCCGAAATAGGTGCGGTGGGCGCATGCGGACGCAGCCACTGGGGCCGTCGGTGGAATTCCTTACGGGGCCACGAAGCGTGTGAGTGGTGTGCCGAAACAGGTGCGGTGGGCGCATGTGAACGCAGCCACTGGGGCCGTCGGTGGAGCTCACCATTGGGCCGCGAAACATGTGAGGGGTGTGCCAAAATGGGTGCGGCGGGCGCATGCGAACACAGCCACTGGGGCCGTCGGTGGAGCTCCCTTGTGGGGCGAATTAGGTGCGGTGGGCGCATGCGAACACAGCCACGGGTCTGGTGGTGGAGCTCCTAATGGGGGCCGCGAAACATGTGAGGGTGTGCCAACATGGGTACGGTGGGCGCTTGCGGACGCAGCCACTGGGGCCGTCGGTGGAACTTCCTGTGGGGCCACGAGCCATGTGAGGGTTGTATCGACACGGGTGCGGCTGGCGCATGCGAACGCAGTCACTGGGGCAGTCGGTGAAGCGTGTGAGAGGTGTGTGCCGACATGGGTACGGTGGGTGCATGCGAACGCAACCCTTGGAGCCTTCGGTGGAGTTGCCTATGTGGCCACGGGACGTGTAAGGGATGTGCCGAAATGGGTGCGGCGGGCGCATGCGAACGCAGCCACCTGGGCCTTAGGTGGAGCTGCATATGGGGCCACGAAGCGTGTGAGGAGTGCGCCGACATGAATGCGGTGGGCGCATGCGAACGCAGCCAACTCGGGCCTTCGGTGGGACTGCCTATGGGGGCACGAAACGTATGAGGGGTGCGTCGAAATGGGTGTGGTGGGCGCGTGCGAACGCAGCCACTCGATCTTTCGGTTGAGCTCCCTCAGCGAGCACGAAACGTGTGAGTGGTATGCCGAAGCTGATGGCGATGATGGTGATGATGGCGGCGATGGTGATGACGATGTCGGTGAAGATGACGACCATGCTGCTGCTGCTGCTGATGATGATGGTGATGATGGTGATGATGATGATGATGATGATGATGATGATGATGATGATGATGATGATGATGATGATGATGATGATGATGATGCTGATGATGATGATGATGATGGTGATGATGACGATGCTGATGCTGATGGTGATGATGCTGCTGCTGATGATGATGATTATGATACTGGTGGTGATGATGACGCCGATGGTGATGGTGCTGATGGTGATGGAAGCGGGAGGAGGAGGGGGAAGAGAAAGGAAGGAAGGACGGAAGAGAGTGACGCGGGGCGCTGTCTCTTCAAAACGAGGACCCAACACCACAGGATGATTGGGAACACGTGGTGAGAAGTATGCAGTCGAATATGTGAGGCCAAATCCTTTAACCATACAGATCGCCCAGGCCTACCCTAGGGCCAACCCCAAAAGCCTGCCGTAGGCCTACCCTGTGGCCTACCCCTAGGCTTACCCTAGGCCTACACTAGGGCCTACCCTCCAACCCTAGGCCTACCCAAGGGCCCATGTCTAGGCCAAACCTAGGACCTACCCCCAGGCCTACCCTAGGCCTCTCCAAGGGCCTACTCCTAGGGCCTACTTGTAGGGCTACCCTAGGACTACCCTTAGCTACCGTAGGCCTACACTTAGGGCGTCCCCCCAGGCCTGCCCTCGGGTTACCTTAGGGCTACTGTATATACACATGAATAGAGACATACTCATATACATACATATATATAGTATAGCAAGGGAAGGGGATGGATAAGGAGGAGGAGGAGGAGAGGGCAAGGCGGTCGCTATTTCGAAGTCAGGCGATAAGACGATACTATGATAAGACCATGTGGTTGTAACACATTGTAATACGATAAGACGATATAGGGCCTCGCCAGGCGACAATACGATAAGACGATATGGGTCTCACCAGACGATAAGACGAGAAGAAGAAAAGACTGTAGAGGGTGACGCCATCCCCCCTATATCGTCTTATCGTCTTCTCGTCTAATCGAATGGTGCAGCCTCATATCGTCTTATCGTCGTCTCGACTTCTCGTCGGGAGCTGATCTGGAGTTGGCGCTGGGGTATGGATACAGGATACGATTGAACATGCTCGGCGCATCTTGGCAACACCAACGGCCATAACCATCGGCATAGCCCTAACTACAGCCATTCACATAAGACGGGACAGGACATGAAAATGCTGCGACCAGGCGGCGTCGTTGTCTTCTTTGTGCCAACGAAGTGCGAGGGAAACCTGCGCAGCGCTCTGGGGGGAGGCGGTGGGAGGGAGGGAGGGAGGGAGGGGAGGGAGGGGAGGGAGGAGGAAGAGGCACAGAAGGCGAACACATTCATAATGTCTGCGTGTGCTGATCGACTGCTGCTTCCAACTGTGGGAAGCGCAACAAATCCTGTAAACGTTCCGAGTCGCCCCCCGCTACGCTAAGAGCCTGGGCGTGCATGTAAGTTGTCCAATGTAATCGTGGTCGCTCTCTTTTGCGAAGGATGTCTGTCCATCTCTGGGGGAGAGAAGATCGCACGTGGACCCTTGCCCAAACGCAGAAACACGTGCGATTGCTTTTGTTGTGCGGTGCAGCTGCGGTTGCGGACACCGAAAGCGATTGTTTTTCCCAGGTCACCCAACGGCGGCGCCAGGATAATCACGCCTCGCGACCTGGGCTGGAGAGTTGCCCCTCTCCATGGGGCCGCCCCTGGCATCCCCAAAGAACCGCGCGCGTTTTTTCCTCCCGGTGCGGCCGGGGCTTCGGACACTGGAAGCAACTGACTGCTTCTCCCAGGTCACCCAAGGGCGGCGCCAGGATAATCGCGCCTCGCGGCCTGGGCTGGAGAGTCGTTCTTCCTCCTGTTCCTGGTCGTCCTCCTATTCTCCTCTCGATCATTGTTCAGCCCGTTCTTCCGCAAGAGCTGCCGGCACGGGTAGCGAGCCTTGCGTCGAGACGTGCTCGGGGCCGAAGGGCCTTCGAGCAGGTTGCTTGCTTCGCTCGCCTTGCCGCATGAACGCGGCAGCGGCGGCGGGGCCTCGCGAGAGTGAACCCTCCCAGGGCGCGCTTCGAGCGGCTTTCTATCTGCTGCTTCGCCGATGGGGGACTTTTCTCGGCCTGGCGGGCAGTCGTCAAGGCCTATTGGGCACCCAACAGTTCCTGGTATATCTTCTCGGAAGGCATGCCGAGAAAGGAGGTTCGGTGGGGGAGACCAGGGAGGTCTTCGCCGTAAAGTTTCCTTGTCCGCCGCGACGCTGATTGAGTTTTGCTCTGCTGGGCGGCCTCCGCGCCGTTCTATTGCGCCTCCTCGAGCCGACAATCGGCGGGGCTGACTGTCAGCGAGCTGACAGTCCGTAAGCAGCGGGCTCGAAGGCTCAACCGATTAGCCGTTTAAAGCGTTGACCGAATTGTTTCGATGGTCCCCTCAGGACGGGAGGGTTTCGGGGTCCTCCTGGGGGTCCCTGGAGCGTTTGGGAGAGTTCCAGGGTTTCTTTGTTGATGGTTTCTGGAGGGTTTGGGGGGCTCCAGAGTCACCCTGGAGGTTCCTGGATGTTTCGAGGGTCCCCAGGATGTTCCTTGGGGGGTTCAGGGGGCCCTCGCGGGTCACAGGAGAGTTCCAGGGACCACCGAAGCGTCGCTAGAGTGCCAGGGGCCTCTGAAGCGTCCTCGTCCATGTTGCAATCCTTCCGGAAGAAGACACATACATGCATATACGCAGGCGTACCATCAGCGATGTACGGCATATGAATTTTCAACGTTTTCAGAAATCATTGAGACGCAGATTATGATCGCCGTCACCATCATGTTTGGTGTCACCATCACCATCACCACTATCATAACATCATACCACCCGACGATCAGACGATAACACGATGCAGGGCCCCCTTCAGACGATAAAACCGATAAGACGGTACTATTGCTTTATCGTCTTATCGTCTCATGGTTTGGGTGTGGCCGTGCATCGTCGTATCGTCTTATCGTCTCATCGTATGGTGCGTCTCTGTGTCGCTTTATCGTCTTACCGTCTTATCGTCTGCTGTCCCTTCATAGTTTTACCGGCCTTTACTATTTCTTCATATGTCGCCTTACCGTGCTATCATCTTATCGCCTGCATGAGGTGTAGACCGCTGATCCCCACCTCATTGTATACACGTGTATATATACTATACAGGTGTAGATATTTGTATATATATATATATAAGAGGAAAGGGATGCAGGAGGAGGAGGAGGAGGGGGAGGAGGAGGAGGAGGAGGAGGAGGAGGAGCATGACATTGATGATGCTGCTGCTGGCTGCTGCTGCTGCTGATGATGATGATGATGATGATGATGATGGTAGTGATGATGATGATGATGATGATGATGATGATGATGATGATGATGATGATGATGAGGAGGAGGAGGAGGAGGAGGAGGAGGAGGGTGATAAGGATGATGAGGATGATGATGAGGATGGTGATGATAATGCTGCTGCTTGCTGATGATGGTGATGGTGGTAATGAAGATGATCATGGCGATGACGAGGACGAGGACGAGGACGAGGAGGAGGAGGAGGATGAGGAGGAGGAGGAGGAGGGAGGAGGGGGAGGAGGAGAAGAGGAAAGGAGGAGGAGGAGGAGCTGGATGAGGAGAGGAAGAAGGAACAAAGGCCCCCCCCCTCCCCTCCCTTCCCATCCCCTCTCCTCCCCTGCACTGTCCCGCCCCCCGGGCTCTGGCGTGCTGGAGGGTGGGCTGGACTGCCGCCGCCCTCTCCCCCCTCCCTGGCAGGCGGCAGCGCCGGGACGGCGCTGGAGCGCTCGGGCGAAGCGGTTGAGGCGGGCGCTCTTTTCGCCCAGAAGAGAAGGAGGAATAGTGATACTCATACATGGAAGAAGAAGAATCATAAACATAATAATGCTACTAATAATAAAGAGAATACTAATGATTATGCTCATATTGATACTAATAATCAGAAGAGTACTATTACGAAACCTAATACTAGTAGTAATAACAGCACTACTATTACGAAACAGTAATGGTAATACAAATACTAGTGATAAGTCTAGTAATAATAATATCTTTAATCGTTATGGCAATGGGACTTGTATTCTTATTAACATTACTGGTACGTCTATTGAACATATAAGCCACACGCATACTATTGTACATTATGCCGGTCAGCACAGTAAGACGAACACTAGTAAAACTATGAGACGAATAGTCGTCATACGACTATTATTATTATTATTATTACTACTATGAAAAGCAATAAGGCGAAACATACGAATAATAACAAACCTATACTAGAAAACTAGGCATACTCATATTACGAACAAAAGGACACATACTATTCATGCTACTAATCTTACTGTCATTTGTAAGCTTAAATATACTAGTATTACTCGTACGCATATCGATACGACGAATAATACTACTACAAGAATACTACTATGCAGAGCGCTAACACTAATACGAAGACTACTAATAGGACGGGTAATAAGACTTCTAATAGTACGACTAGTATTGGTAATACTACTACTTCGACTAATAATAATCATGCGAATACTAGTAATAGTATTGCTCAACATAATATCGGTAATACTCATAGTATTCATTATACTAATACTCGTACAGCTAATAACATTTGAGCTACTAATACGAGCGGGAGGAGGAGGATGAGGAGGAGGAGGAGGAAAAGGAGTAGGAGGAGGAGGGGGAGGGGGCGGAGGATGGCGAGGGGGAGGGGAGGGGAGAGGGGGAGGGGGAAGGGGAGTGGGAGGGGGACGAGGAGGAGGAGAAGGAAGAGGAGGAGGGAGGAGGAGGAGGAGGAGGAGGAGGAGGAGGAGGAGGAGAGGAGGAGAGGAAGGAGGAGGAGGAGGAGGAGGAGGAGGAGGAGGAGGAGGAGGAGGAGTAGGGGGAGCGGAGGAGGAGGAGGGGGAGGGGAGGGGGAGGGGGAGGGAGACGAGGAGTAGAAGGAGGAGGAGGAGGAGGAGCAGGAGGAGGAGGAGGAGGAGAAGGTTCGACTCAATAGCCATTTGGCCATTTGGCTCAAGCAATTTTGGCTCAAGGCCGTTCTGGTCCGAGGCAAGGGCGGCTCCAGGGGGGCCTCCTTTGCAGGCAGCGCTCTGCTATCCACATCTCCATTCGCGTTTCGGCCCACGGCGTCAGGTCGCCGCTGGGTTAACCCGCTCCTGTTACGATTCCCTCGCGACGGCACCCGCAGTTTCCGCAATGGCGTGGGGGTACTCGTGGCAATCTGGCGCAGGCAAGGGTCGAGAAGCATACGTGGGAGGTGAGCAGAGTGGACCGCCAAAGAAGCCCCCCGGGAAAGGCGTTGGTACATGACAGTGCCAGAGTTGCGGATGCAAGAAGACACCGTGGAAGCAATGTATTGCAAGCGCGGCAAGAAGGCGTGGATTGAGAACGACGGGGATCAGGATGTGGATGTGGCCCCGAAGGAGCTCGATGACCCATCAGGCCTTCACCGCGAGCTGCTGGGCTTCAGCCACCGAATGTAGTCACGAGCCATGAGGTCGCGCTGTCCAAGGCGGAGATCCACAGTGTGCTCCAGCTTGCGACGAGGCAGGGGACATGGTCCCCGAGAAGAAATACACGGCAATATTGTAGCACAAGAAGCGTCCGGAGTTGGCGCCGAAGGAGAGGCCCCTGCAGGCCCAGACGCAGGCAGCTCACCGAATGTGGAGGTTGGCAAGCACGAGAAGCTCCCGACGGCCTTGGCTGAGCAGAACCAGCTCGTGGAGTCCTTCACGAGCCAGCTAGATGAGCCCGACAAGGAATACAAGAAGCTGCTGGAACTGTTGCGCTGTGGGGCGTGGTTGGGGGCCAGGGCATGGTCGCGCGAATCCCGCTGTCCAAGCTGCTGGAGTGTGACCTCAGTTGCTTCGACCTGGGAGAGTGCAGTACGCTGTTCGGCCTGGTGGATCGTGCTTTGTATGAGGTCACGGAGGGGGATCGGAAGCAGGCAGCTGACAGGCAGGAGAAGATGTGCAAGCGCATCCGGGACCTGGCCAAGGGCCTCTTCGGATCTTGCTGTTAGTCTTCTCTCCCTGCTCGCTCCCTGCCGCCGCCACCCGCAGCTATCTAGGCTGTATTGGAGGAGCGCCTCTTGCGGGCACCGCAGGCTCACCGGCGCGAGAGTGAAAAGGTTGTGGATTGTCGTCGGTGCCGCCGTCGTCCCTCCTCCTCTATTTCATTTTCTCGTATTAGATACCGGAGAGCAACCCCCATCAAAGTCGTTTAAGGGCTATAGTGCAACGGGGCTATTGGGCTATAGGGCGATGGGGCTATGGGGCGACAGGGCTACTGGACTATAGGGCTATAGGTCCACAGGGGTTTCTAGGTCTATGACTCTATAGGGCTAAAGGGCTATAGGGCCATGGGGCCATAGGGCTGTAGGGCTGTAGGGCTATGGGGCTAAGGAGCTCAGGGACTATGAGGCTATAGGTCTATAGGGCCATATGGCCAGGAATGAATAGGGATATGGGGATTCAGGGCCAGAAGGCTACTATAGGGCTATAGTGGGGTATAGGACTATAGGGCTGTAGGGCTATGGGGCTATAGGCATGTAGAGATACAGGGCTATAGGGCTGTAGGGCTATAGGGAGGTCGGGCTCTCAGGCCATACGGCTATAGGACTATAGGGTTATAGGGATATAGGGCTTTAGGGTTATAAGTCTCTGAGGCTATAGGGCTAATTGCTATAGGGCTATAGGGCTATAGGGCTATAGGGCTATAGGGCTATTGGGGTATAGGGCTATAGAGCTGCAGGGCTATAGGGCTATAGGGCTATAGATCTAGAGAGCAAGAGGGCTCTAGGGCTATCGGGCTGTAGGGCTATCAGTCACCTGGGCACTCGGGCGGGCCGCGGAAATCGGTGGCAAAGCTCACCTGACCATATGAATCCGCTAGGACCCCTACATAGGCAAGCTCTGGTTGTGGAGCAGTTACTCATAACCGTGTGGATCGTAGAAGACATGTCTGATATACCCACCATGGGCGACGAAACCGATTCGTCAACATCACCGCCATATCCCACTTTTGCCGGGGACCGTATTCTTCTGGCGAATGCAGGACATCTTCCAGTCTCCTCGGCCCGCGCCAGAACCGGGGACACCGCGGCAGGGTTTTATGCAGTCACCAGGCAGCGCGTCCAGTTTCATGTCCGCCACAGACGTGGCGGTGCCTTACGACGTTCACCTGGACGTGCGCATGCCGCCGTGCCGACCTACGTTCCAATGGTGGCCTACTTCGTCAGCTACCGACGCGAGTTCACCGACCGACTCGCCATCCTCGTTAGCTACTGACGCGAGTTCACAGACCGACTGCCGACCGAGTTACCGGGCGAGCTTTGACCTCCTGGGCGGCTGGTTGGGGTCATTGTCGACGCCGGCGCCCGGACCAATTTCTGGGGGCTACGCTTTGCTATGGACCTCGCAGAGGAGGCGCAGGAGGCGAAAATCGTGCCCGCGAAAAAGAGGATGTCGTCTCAATTTTACGCGGCAGGAGTCGGCAACAGGTCACAGGTTGCGCACTGGGAGGTGCACCCCCCCATCGCAGTGACCACCCGCGTCGGCGCGACCTCGCAGCGCAGCATGCGCGCTCGGCCCTGGTGGGTGCAGGCTTCCATCGGTCTGCAATCCACGCGGTCCAACAACGGGGTGGTGGAGAGTGGAGACAGGAGTTGCCCATAATCGCCTGACGTCCCTGGAGGGGTAATGAGCGAGCCGATGAGCTGGCTGAGCTTGGGGCCCCGTGACATCCCAGCAACTCTCTTATTTAGACCCAGCTGCAACACAATTTCAGTTTAGCGAAGCAGTCAGCGTGGCTGATTGCAGAAGTCCTGGGCGATCTCGCGGCCAAAGATTTCTCTGATGTCGCTAAGTATTAGCGGCCACATACACCCAAACTCCATGTCCTGCAGCTTATCTTGGAGCCTAATGCGCATTTATTTGAGAAGGTGGGGTAAGCAGTGCAGATGTGCGGCCTGCGGAGAGCGCGGATGGACGCGGTCGCATAAAGTCTTGCCGCCTTGCGGCGGTCCGCCCCGTGTTGCGAGGACCTCTCACCGAAGCCGCTGTCTCTGGCTGGGTGGAGGGCGGGTGGCTTGGTGCGCCACGCGTGGCGCTTTCGGGTCCTCTCGCTCTTGCGTCCTGGGGATGGAATGTTCCATGGGGACTTCGCAACAAAGTGGCCGCCAATGGTGCGAGAATGTTGAAGAGCGGGGTCGACCCGAGATCGGGCAATAGCTTCGGTCGATCCGCCACTCCCATGTGGAGTTGTCGAGCTGTTTGGGAGGCTGCCACCAGTTGACCGGGCCCATTTCCTTTTCTTTCAGCGCTGCTTTTCTGGCTGGTCCATCGCTCGGCGGTGGTGGATAGCCCCAGAGCCAGCAGGAGCCAACAGGAGGAGGTTAGACGCCCAAAGACGGAACAGTCAGGAGGAGGAGGTGAAGGAGGAGGAGGAGGAGGAGGAGGACGAGGAGGACAAGCTAGGTGCGCTCGCGTCATATCTGACATCCTACCCCTCCCTCCCATCCCTTACCATGGCGCAGATCCCCTCTCTACTCGCTCAATCGGATGTCGAGCAGGGCAATGATGGGTACGCGATGCATTGTCGAGCACGGCATGGCATGGCGCAGAAGAGCACCGAAAAGCGTAGTATCAACCTAGTATTGCAGTGCATGCCGTGGCATGGCACGGGAAATGACGCCAGCGCTGCAGCGGGAGCAGGAGTCGAAACGAGCGGAAACGCGGACATGAGGCCAGCGCTGTAGCGGGAGCACGATTCGGAACCAACGGAAACACGGAAATGAGGC